CGCGCCCAAAAGTTCGGCGCGCCCCCTCGCACGCTTCGTGGCCCGATGTAGGGGGCCCCACCGAACGCCTTAGAAGGGTGCGCCACCTGCGGGGGCGCCCCGCGCGCGCGGGCTATCCCCCCACGCGCTTCGCGGCCACATAGGGAGCTCCACCGCGGGCCGAAGGGGGGCTCACCACCTGCGACCGCCACGCCCACGTCGACCCACGGGGTCGAGCGTGTCTTTGGGGGGCAAAGTCCGCCCCCCTGTTCAGGCCCAAAACTACGATGAAGGTATGAGTCGCGTCTGCGCTAGAAATCTGATTCAAGTCTGGCCTTCAGCGCCAACTCCGACTTAGGTCTGACTGGAACTCTGATTTAACCCTGGCCCTGAAGCCCAAGTCTGATTGAGGTCCGACTGGGAACTCCACAGGAATTATGATTACAAGCTTGGCTTGGACCTGCCGAAACCAATGTCGCGGCGCCAGCCGAGGGCGATGCCGGGTCGGCCCCGCGCGCATGCGTCTTCAAGAACAACAGAAGGAATGCGTAACCCAAGCGGCAGGCCCCGGCTGGGGGCCCAGCCGCCAGCTGCCAAATACTGCGAGCTGGGGCGGGGCAGCGCCCCCCGCCTCCGCGGCCCTGCCCAAAACTGCTCAACGGCAGCCGGGGCGAAAAAAGGCTCGCCCGAGGCTCGCCCCTCAGGGCTGCCGGCTGCCGCGCCGCGGCAAGATGCGCATCGCGGTGGCCGCCCCGATCCCCACCGCCCGCCCGGAACAGGTCGGGGGCAGGGCGCGCAGAGGAGAAGCGCTGCAATTTTCGCAAGGCTCGGGGGCGCGGGAGGCGCCCTGGGAGGTGCCCGGAACGAAAGCGGGGACAAGGGGCAAGGGTAGGAACGATCGCGAGACCGAAGGCGGAGGCGAGGGCAGGAACTGGGGCGGGAGAGGGGGCGGGGACGATGGGCGAGAACCAAGGCGAGAACGAAGGCGAGAATGAGGGCGGGAACAAAGGCGGGAATGAGGGCGAGACCGAGGGCGGGAACGAAGGCAGGGACGAAGGCGGGAGAGAGGGCGAGAACGAGGGCGAGAACGAGGGCGAGAACGAGAGCGGGAACGAGAGCGGGAACGAGGGCGGGAGCGAGGGCGAAAACGAGGGCGGGAACGAGGGCGGGAGCGAGGGCGGGAACGAGGGCGAGAACGAGGGCGGGAGCGACGGCGGGAACGAGGGCGGGAGCGACGGCGGGAGCGAAAGCGAAGACGAGGGAGAGAACGAAGGCGAAAACGAGGGCGGAAACGAGGGCGGGAACGAGGGCGAGACCGAGGGGAACAATAGCGGGAACGAGGGCGGGAACGAGGGCGAAAACGAGGGTGAGAACGAGGGCGAGAACGAGGGCGAGAACGAGGGCGGGAGCGAGGGCGGGAACGAGGACGGGAGCGAAGGTGGGAATGAGGGCGGTGGGCCGCCTCTGGGCGCCTCCAGGCTTCCTCTGGGCGGCTCGGGAATTCCCCAGGCGCCTCCGGGGAACGTCCGGGGAACCTCCGTGGAACCTCCGGGAGGTCTGTTTAAAGTCTGTCTGAGGTATGTTTGAAGTATGTTTAAGGTCTGTTTGAAGTATGTTTGAGGTATGTTTGAAGTCTGTTTAAGGTTTGTTTGAAGTATGTTTGAAGTCTGTTTTGGGCCAAACTCTGATGAGGGTCCGTTTGAGGTCTGTTTGAAGTATGGCCGGACCTCTGTTTCAAGTCTGATTTCCCTGGGCGGCCCTTGGGTTCCCCGGGCGGCCTCAGGGCGGCCCAAGAACGAGGGCGAGAACGAAGGCGAGAATGAGGGCGGGAACGAGGGCGGGAACGAAAATGGGAACGAGGGCGAGAACGAGGGCGAGAACGAGAGCGGGAACGAGAGCGGGAACGAGGGCGGGAGCGAGGGCGAAAACGAGTGCGAGAACGAGGACGGAAACGAGGGCGGGAACGAGGGCGAGAACGAAGGCGGGAGCGACGACGGGAACGAGGGCGGGAGCGACGGCGGGAGCGACGACGAAAACGAGGGCGGGAACGAAGGTTGGAACAAGGGCGGGAACGAGGGCGGGAACGACGGTGAGAGCAAGGGCGGCATCGAAGGCGAAGGCGAGAAAGAGGGCTGACGTGAAAATGGCCTCGGGCGGGGGCGAGGGCGGGCGCGGGGGCGAGGGCGGAGACGAGGCCGGGCGCGGGTCCTGGAGCGAGGGGGGAAGCGAGGGCGAACACGAAGGCGGGACACTGAGGCCGAGGAGCGAAGACTGACGCTCGATGCGGAGGAGGGGCAGGGGGAAGATGAGGAGGACGAGGAGGAGGAACAAAAGGACGAAGGGAGGAATGGGGGCCGAGGGCAGGGGAGGGACAGCACGTGGAGGGCGACGGCGACCGAGGAAGGAGGAAACGGGACTAGTGAGGCCAATGGGGGGAGGAAGAGGAGGAAGGAAGGTGGAGGATATGGGCGGGGATAAGGGGAGGAGGGAGGAGACAACCTGAGGAGGAGGGGAGGGAGGAGGGGGGAAGAGGGACGCGAACGGGGGAGGAGGGAAAGGGAGGGAGAGTGAAGCGGAGGAAGGGGGGAGGGGATAGACGAGGTAGGAAAGAGAGCGAGGGGAGGAGGGAGGATGGGAAAGGACAGAGGACAAGCGCACTTGCGCAGCGCGCCCCGCGCCCTCCGCCCGGGACTGCCAGAACTCCGATGGTACTATGATTCAGCTCTGTTTTGGCTCTGGCCTGAAACTCTTCTCTGGTTTGGCTGAGACTCTGGTTTGGCTCTGGCCTGAAACTTTGATTCGTCTCTCTGGCTTAGCTGACACTTTGCTTTAGCTCTGGTCTGCTACTCTGATTTAACTCTGATTTAGCTCTGGCTGGGGACAGAGCCGAATCAGAGTTAATCAAGCTTCAGACCAGAGTCAATCAGAATTTCAAAAAATCCGAGATGAAACAACTTTCCGGGCCAGAATTGAATCTGAGTTGAATCCGCCGGCCCCCTTGTGGGGCCACCAGGCTGTAGGCCGGAGTTTCGCAGTTTCCTGTACCAGTTGCAGCTTCCAGTTTCCACTGTTACAGTTCTGCTTCTTGCTGCTTACTCTTCCTTGTTACAGTTATGTTTCTTGCTGCTTACTGTTCCTTGTTGATGGACCGCGCGAGGGGGGAGGCCCAAAATTGGAATTTTTATCACGGCCAAAACGTATTGTCTGAATTGCTGGGGTGGGTAAAAATTTACACCCCTCCCGCAGATCTGCGGGGTCAGGGTCCAAAAACACAAGGGACTTGCCACATGTCTGAAATTCGGTGGCCTCATGCAGACCGGCAGGGTCAGGGTCCAGAAACACATGGGTGTTGCCACATTTCTGAAATTTGCTTGCACCCCTCATGCAGATCGGCGGGGTCAGGGTCCAAAAACACATAGGTGTTCCCACATTTCTGAAATTTGGTGGCACCCCTCACGCAGATCGGCGGGGTCAGGGTCCAAAAACATATGGCATTTCTGAAATTTGCTGGCACCCCTCTCGCAGATCGGCAGGGTCAGGGTCCACAAACACATGGGATTTGCCACAGTTCTAAAATCCAGTGGCACCCCTCACGCAGATCGGAGGGATTTGCCACATGTTTAAAATTAGCTGGCACCCCTCACGCAGATCGGCAGGGTCAGGGTCCAAAAGCACACGGGATGTGCCACATTTCTGAAATTCGCTGGCACCCCCCACGCAAATCGGCGGGGTCAGGGTCCAATAACAAATGGGATGTGACACATTTCTGAAATTCGGTGGCACCCCTCACGCAGATCGGCAGGTTCAGGGTTCAAAACCATATGGATCTTGCCACATTTCTGACATTCGGCGGCACTCCTCACGCAGATCGGCAGGGTCACGACGTCGTACCAATCGCCTGGTGTGGTAACCCCTCTGGTCATCTAACGACAGCGCCCAGGCCTCATGACATAGCTCTTGCATAGCGCATTCTCCGAGAGAGGGGGCCGGCGGCAGGGGGCGAAGCCCTTACGGATCAGAATATTATCAGAGTTTTGTTTGAGTTTAGCTTTTGAAGCCAGTTTGCCTCCAAAACACACACACTCAACTATGGGGAGCTCCACCTGAGGCCCAAGGGTGGTGTACCAAATGCGGCCGCCCACCCATTTCGTAGCCACATGGGGAGTTCCACCTAAGGCCCCAAGGGGTGTGCCACATGCGACCGCCCCACCCATTTCGGCACACCCCTCATACGTTTCGTGGCCCCATGGGAGCTCCACCGAAGTCCCTAGTGCCCGCCCGCATGCCACGCTTCGTGGTCACATGGGGAACTCCACCGAAGGCCCCAGTGACAGCGCCCGCATCCTCACACGCCTCGTGGCCCGTATAGGGGGGTCAATCGAAAGCCCCAGTGGCAGCGCCCGCATGTCCGACCGCCCCATTTCGGCACACCCTTCACACGCTTCGTAGCCCCATCAGGAGATCCACCGAAGGCGATACTCACGACGACGGCAATCGCAACTGCAAATGGTTGAGTCCTTCGCCAGGTGAGCGTTTTCTTCTTCGGCGTTTCGACATCGAGCGGAAGGGGGGGGAAGGGGGCGAGGCTGGCTCCGGACCTCTGCTCAGTGCGACTGCCGCTTACGACGGTGCGTCCTAGGGAGCCGACTCCACCTGCTTGAGACAAGCGCCACAATGACAGCCAATGGCGCCACGAGGGCCCGCGCCGATCGGCAAAACAATGAATTTGAGCACGATCACCCGGCGATGTTTTCAACAGTGCCGAAGTACGCACAGATGTTTTCAACAGTGCCGAAGTTGGGCTCCACTGGACTCCCTCTGCCCAGGGCGCAGCCTCGCTGAGAAAGCGCCCCAAGCCCTAGGTCATCACGGATATCGGGCTTCGTTCGCCCAAAGGAGCCAGGGTGTGAATTCCTCCGCCTGCCCCTACACATCAACCTGACCTAACGCAAAGCACTGCTTCAACTTACGCCCTAGGCACGGGACCACGCTCTGTTTCGGGCGCCCGTCCCAGCGGGAGCCCGTCTTGCTTCGTGAACAGGCACATGGAGTTGCACTGCGAGGGCGCGCGCACGCCGCCGAGCACCTCGAGGCGCCCGCTGCAGGGCAGAGGAAGAGGAAGACCTGCACGCAGACCTTCTAGAAGGCCACTGCTGGCAGGTCTTCGTCGGAGGGATTACGCAGGATTGAGCCCCAGTTTGGGGGCGGCCAAGAAGAGGGGAGCGTCCAAGGGGAGGGGCGCAAATCATGGCCAGCGGCATATGCGCAGCCCAGGGGGGGGCCAGGGACGTAACAAAATCAGAAGAGGCGCCATGGAATATGAGGAAACATCATGGCCCACTCCATGACATCCACCCCCCCTCCTAGTCACCACCCCTCTCGTGGCCGCCCCAGACCATTGGAGAGGCTGCTACGCCGGATTAGGCCGCGGATTAAGCAGGATTAAGCCGGACCAGCCGGGATGGAGCCGGGCTGAGCGGGACGCCAGATGAGGCGGGATTTCGGAACAGGGCCAAGTCAGAATTTGACCTCCCAGGAGTTGCATCGGAGCTCTGCGCGGATCACCTGTCGGGGACGCGCGAACATGGATTAGCGATCCATGGATTTGGCGAGCGGTCGACAAATCCATGGATCGGGGGAGGTGCCCTCTCCAAAATGCGGCCAGTGCCGCCTCGCTCGGCAACGTAAATCCGCGATTTCCTATGATAACCGGGCCCGTCGCTGATCCGCGCCACCTTGATCCATGTTTGCGATCGCCTGATGGATCAGCGCAGGGCCCCCCCAAGGCGCCCCCCCAAGGGCGCCGCCAGCGCCGCCCCCTGGCGCGCTCCGCGCGCCAGGAAGAAGGGTCCAGCGCCGAGCCGAGCAATTTGCGCGTACCTCGGGCAAAAAAGTACGCCTATGATGCAGCGTTGTTCTTCTCGAGACACCCCCAGCTGCCCTCGGAAGGACGGGCAGTGAGAAGGCAAGGAGGGTGGCAGAAGGAGGGCGCGACTGGCCGAGGAGGCGGGTGCAGAAAGCACTTCGGCTCGAGAAAGAGAAGAGGCCACGACAGTGCGGAGGAGGCGGGAGAGCGAGGAGGGGAGGAGGACAAGAAATCATATGTCTTGCCGGGGTAGGCGGGCGATGGACAAGACTACACTCCTGCTGGGCGCCGTTCTCCTGACGGAGACAGTGCAACGTGCGAGACGGTACCTGGAGAATGAGAAAGATATCGATGCCCCTACACCTGGTGTCTGCAGTCAACGCAACGTGCGTGCTTCGTGCTTCTCCGGCGGAAACAATGTTTACAGCGCAATGCAACAACATGCGAGACGGTAGCTGGAGAAGGAGAAAGATATCGATGCCCCTACACCTGGTGTCTACAGTCAACGCGAAACCATAACGAACGCTGAATAAGGAACGAAGGGGCTGTTCTGACCACGGCGAGCCTCGGCCACGAACAGGTGCCTTCCTCCGTGGCGGGACGAGAGGCAGCACACGACCCGAGAAATCCTCCGGCAATTTTGATCTGCTACCTCCAACACGGAGTCTGCGTGGCGTCCGCCGCGCAAGGAAGGAATCCGCATTGCCAGATGGCGGGAACGCTGGCACGGCGTGGCATGCATGTGGTCTGTCCGCTCGCGATGCCAGGCGGGTGCGAGGTTCACTGTGTACACTCTGTCTTGGCATGCTGACATCAAGGGCTCCAAGACTCGCGCTGGGCGCGCTGCGCGAATGCCAACAACTTCGCGCTGTCGCGCCGCCCCCAGAGGGGACAAGAGGAGGACGAGGGTCGAGCAGGCAGAGGAATGAGGAGGATGAGGACCAGTGCAAACCCAAGACTCTTCAACGGCGTTGGAGTAAACCCTCCCTCCAAGCTCCCTCTTCACAAAAAACCTACAAGGATGCACGTCAACTGGGGAGATTTCCCGGTTGGGAGACAGCAGTTGGAAGCTGAAGCCTGCCAACACACAATTCTCGAACTTCATCGCCACGAATCATCCTGACTGTTGCGCCTTGACAATCCTGCATCGCGTCTGAACACCGAACACCATTCATAGGACTTCAACACCGCGAATCAACGTAACTGCCGCGCCCTGACAATGCAACATCGCTCCAAAACACAGTTTCTGGTACAATGAGAACCCGTGAAACTACTGCAATTGGTTAAATCGACTGTGCGCGGCGCTACAACGAGAAACACAGTTTGAAAAAGGACCGCCCTCGATCTGTGAAACTCTTGCAAATGTTAAAACGAATGTACGCGGCGATAAAGCGAGAACCACGGTTTGAAAACGGCCCGCCCTCAATCCGTGAAAATCTTGCAAAGGTTTAAAAGGAATTGTGCGCGGCGCAAACGGCGAGAGGCACAATTGAACACGGCCCGCCCTCTCACAGCCCTCGCAATTGTTTCCAACGAGTGCACTCGACGCCAAGGCGAGAGCCACATCTTGAAAACGACCCGCTCGTCATCCGTGGGATTCTTGCAAGTTTCAAGACCGCTGCTGGCCAGGCGGTCTTCTGTCTTAAGTCGACAACCTCCGCGGCGACAGAAATGAAGAAGAACGGTTCTCACACCCACTCTTACCGCATGGGCACAAATGTATATAACAGGCAGGAGCCACCTGTTGAAAAAAACATCGTAAAAAAGTCTGGAAAGGCGCAGGGCAGGAACAGCAAGCGGCCTCCTCGTAAATCTCCGGCGTCTCGGGCGGGCCGTAGAAGAGGACGTAGTCGGCACCCTTGAGCCGGTACCGCCTCGCCGCATGGGCAGGCGAGGACCTATTCCAAGCCTGGGTCTATACCTAGAGATCCGAGGCAACGACAAAAATTGCAACGGCCGACCTCTGGGGGCCCTAACCGTGCCCTGGCCCCGAATTATTTTGCTTCGAACGATCTCCAACGGAAGAGCGCGAGGCAGGACCCCCAGGGAGTACACTCTCGAGGGAGGAAAACAAGCCGAAGTTATCGACGATTAGAGTGACGTCGTGGCGCCTGTCACTTTTGATACGTCAACATGTATGTTCTGCTCTGACCTAACTCAATGCTGCGATTGGACACTTCATTATGATATGTCATGGTCACGTGCCGTTTCTCGCACTATAGTATGTAAGTATGTTATGGTATGCGGCTTGATTCGGCTCGCACCACAAAATGTGGCATCATGATCTGAACTGTGTGTTACGGTTTTGCTCTCGTGTGCCATTATATTCTTCCCGATTCGGTTCGATCATGGTCAGAGTGAGGGGACCGAGAGGTCATTCAATGTGCCTGGGTGCGTGACTCAAGCGGGACTAGGCGAAGATTATGCTTATTGTTGTTGCTTAATTCGTTGTTGTCGTCGTCCCCCCCTGCGACACTGCTCGCGACCCTCCCGCGACCCTCTCGCGACCGATCCGCGACCCACCCGCGACCCGACCCCGCGACCCACCCGCGACCCACCCGCGACCCACCCTGCGACCCGCCCGTGACCCGCCCGCGACCCACCCGCGACCCATCCAAGACCCGCCCGCGACACGCCCGCGACCCACCCGCGACCCATCCGAGACCCACCCGAGACCTGGCCCGCGGCCCACCCGCGACCCACCCGCGGCCCACCCGCCACCCACCCGCGACCCACCCGCGACCTACCCACATTGGTTGAGCGAAAAAATCGGCGCCTGCAACGGGCTCGTTGTGTAATCTGTGAAAATGAGGCGCCTGCGGCGGGCTTCTTCAGAGCCTCGAAGACTGCCGACCGTCCCCGCCGCCCCCTCACTCTTATCCGCAACTGCGGAGTGCGACGTATGAGAGTAGTATGTTATCTCCTGTTTTGTTGTGCTCTGACATGTTATGTGTTGTTATGTTGTGCGATGGTCCCCAAAGAGATTCACATGGATGCCCGGCGGTCCTGGGGATCTGGCGGCCGCGGGCCGTGGTATGTGGCAACCCACAGAGGGATCCAAGCAGGATCCATGCTGGTCCTGGCGATCTGGCGGCCGCGGTACGTAGCGGCCGATAGAGGGATCCATCCCCAAGGGATCCCCAGTGGTCCTGGGGAATGGGCGGCCGCGGTATGCAAGGAGCGGGGAAAAAATATTTCGGATGGCAAACCCGCCCTGGCGAACTTGTCCAATCTTCCGGGCGTATACAGACCGAACACATTGGGGCGACGGGTGTAATTACAGATTCTGATCCACCGCCTGGGGACTCGATGTCTCAGAACCCCAGGGCCAGTCCAAGAAACCTTCCATAAGAAACCCAGCGCTGAGACCCCAGGACGCCCATTGATTTTTGGTGTGGGAACGTCATGTCTTCCACAGCAGCGAAACAATCGAAACCCAAGAAACCCAGGGCACCCTGGAGACAAGCAAGGAGTTTCTTGGCATGGGTCTCCACTGTATGTGGGTCGCAAGAAGTCGGCGCAGATGCCGGCACGCCCGACAAATGGCGTGTCAGCAAGAGACTATGGGCCACAGAGGTGCCGAGCGCCTATGTGTGATGTACGTGTGCACACGAACAAGTATACGTGTGCACCCCACCGCGTTACCTGGCATTTGAGGCGCGGTAAAATGCCTAGGTGTTGTCAGGTAGCGTATATGAAGACATTCTAGAATGACGCCCCCGCCCCCCCCCCCCAGGGCAGGACCAGCTTGCATGCACCACCCTCGTTCCATCCCTTAAGCTTCAAGATAAGTGTGGCCCATATTTGCTCCGCGCTCCCGAGGTCAAGACCCCTCATACATGATGGACCTGTTTTCCACCACCACCACCACCACCACCACCATAAGTTGGAGGGGGGTAGGAGGAGGAGGACGAGGAGGAGGAGAAGCCCCTCCCCCTCCAGCTTATGGTGGTGGTGGTGGAAAACAAACCCATCAATACAAAAACAAAGGGGCAGCGCTCCCAAGGCCACGACACCTTGCAAAGCAAAATGGACCTGTACTCCAGGGGACAGCACTGCCGGTAGAAATGGCCCCGTGCTCCCGAACCTCTGTCGACGACGGAGGCAGGCAACCAGGGCCACAAAGACTCCTTGCACCGACCTTGCAGACGTGCTGCAGCGGATGTTTGCATTGATTTTTGCCCTGCATGCAAAACCCCGGGACGGCGAGCGAAGAACGAAGTGAATTTCACGTACGTGTGTTTTGCAGTCTTCATTCCTGGCCCCCCCCAAAAAGAAACGCACAAAATTCACTTCGAAATCAGAAACGAAATTCTCCAGGACAAATTAGGCCATTCCCACTATTTTTTGAGCGAAATCCGGTCTGCGATGTTGGCGCCATGAGAAGATGGCTCAAGATGCTTCCAAGGACGGCCCAACCCAGACATGCAACGTCCTGATTTTTTCAGCACGTGGCCTCTGGAAGTCCAGACCATTGTCTTCCCGGGGCCAGTTTCCATCCTCCGTTTTCCTTTGCCGGTCCCGGGGCCCCCGGAAGCCGAAAGTGGCCAAAAACGTCCCGTCCTGATTTCAAGACGCGAGCACGCCTGGTTCTCAGCCCATAACCCGGCTCTCCGGCGGCCGCTCGGAACAATACGGACACCCCCAGCGAACGCCCTCGGCGAGGCGCAGCTGCTGGAGAGCATGCCGAGGCTGGAAAGCCGTCGGGAACCGACGAAAACGTTCCAAAAACCTCCCGTCGTGATCTCTTCGCGACGCGATCATGGCCATCGCTCGGACGTCCATTCCCTTTTTTTTTTTTTGGTTTCGTGCGTGGCTTTTTCGCCAAATGATCGAGGATGCTCCTCGATGGTCCTCGCCGAAGGAAAATGCACACGTCCGAGCGATGCCAAGGATCATGGCTGGGGAAGGCGGCCCCCGAACGAGCGAAGCGGCGCCCGTGGACGCAACAGCGGCCCCGTCGGCGGCGAAGAGGCTGGCAGGTGCTGCGCGCACCCTGCCGGCCCTGCTGCACACTTCTGCTCGCGAGCGCAAACGGAAGGGCCGCGCGCCGTCCAAAGCCACCACTCACAAGCAGGAGCCCACATTGCACACGAGAGAGAGAGGGGAAGAGAGGGACAACAACAACAACAACAACAAAAAAATGCGACGGGAGGGCGTGGCCCACTTTCGGCCAAGGCCCTCGCCAAGCCTCGGGGCCGAAAACCAGTCCCGGGGAAAGGGTCGGGGCTTCCGGGGACCGCGTATTGAAAACACCTGGGCGTCGCATGTCTGGGGAGCGAGCCAGGGAAGCTGAGCGGCGCGACCAAGGGGGGGGAGGGGCGGGTCTTCTCGGAAGGCTCGGAAACCACCCGTCCTTCTGAGAGGTTTTCTAAGCATTTCCGAGAGACACAGAAAACTTCTGAGAAGGCCCGAGGCCTTCTGAGAAGTCCCGCCGCCTTCTGAGAGGGCCTCCTTCTTTTTCTTCTTCTTCTCACTTCCCCACTCGCTCGCCGCCGATGGGAAACGCGACCACAGTCGAAAGCACCGTGGTAACGTCATGCGTAGCACATCGCTGCCACATACAGGAGCGTAGGTGGTATGGGATGCACGGTGGCGAAGACAAGGAGGGGGATCCCTTTCCTCTCAGATAGTACCAGCAAGCGTGCTGGTAGTCATATTGGGCGCACGCGCCTGGGCCAAACGGCAGAGGAGCGCGCTGAGTTCCTCCCCGGGGACCGCCCTTTAAAGTACCACCACCTGGAGGATGGAGGCAGAGGGTGGTCAGGGGCGGTGGTGGTGGTGAATATCGTTTCGTGCGGTTTCGCGGGACATCGCGCACACACACACACACACACACACACACACACACACACACACACACACACACACACACACGCACACACACACACACACATCCCGCACACCAGCTCATCCTGAAACTCCTCAGGTGGTGGTGGTGGCGGTGCGCTCCCTGCACCTACGGCAGGTACTGTTGCCAAGTTTAGGCCTCTGTCGACTGCACCGACGGTGAGATCCGAGGAACCCAAATAATACGCACTGCAAGCAGATTTTCCAGCTCAGAAATCGTTCACCGTGGCTGTACTCCTTCTGGCCCAAACTCTGGACCCCCTCGGGTCTTCGGAACCTGGGGAGGGGTCCTAGACAACGGTGACGGCGGCCCTGGCGGGCACATCTGCCCCAGAAACCCGACCACGTGCGCCATAGGTGCCTCAGGTCGCTCCGATACTGTCCGTGAAGGCTCCGAAACGGTCCAAGATTGCCTCAAGTCGCTTCAAGACTGTCCATGAGAGCTCCGAAACGGTCCAAGACGGCCCCAAGACGACCCGAGATGCCGCCAAGACGCCCCAAGGGGAAGGCCCCAAGAGGGCCCCCCGAGGCAAACATACTCGCCTTTTCCATCTGCAGGCGCCTGAAAAAGCCCACGCGGCCCCAAAAATCGCCCCAGGACGGTCCAAAAGGCGCCCACGAGGACTCCAAAGTTGCCCACGAGACCCTTTTATGAGGACCCCATCACGAGACCAGGAGGGGGAACTCGAATGGGTACCCAGTAGCCCTTCCCACACGAGTGCCCGCCCCACGCACTGCCAAGAACTATTGCCCCCAAGCGAGCCCCACGAGGCATCACGCCCCCAAGAGGCCCCCCAGGAGGCCCCCGAGAGGCCCCCGAGAGGATCCCAAAACTACCCTACGGCAGGTTCGCGTCGCGTCGACCCCGGCGTTGGCTCCTAACACCGCGGGGATCGTTCAAACTTGAACGATCGGCCGTTCCATTAACGCCGGATCGTTCCACGACGGACCGATTCTGGGCCGCCATGGGCAGCACTCAACCTTAACCGCCCGCGCCGGGGTCGCCGCCGATCGACACGACGCG